CCCCCCCCCCCCCCCCTGCCTACTCTGCCTTGTTGGGTACCTTGATCTCCCTTTTGCTGTCACTTTTGTTTTTTTGTTTCTGGCTGTCTGCCCATCTGTCGCCTCCTTGTTCTGTTGCCTCCTTTACTCCCATGCCCTGGTGCATAGTGCCTGGTGCTGGTACGTTACCCTTTGAGTTTTTTAGGCGGGTGTGGGAAGCGTCCTCCTTTTCATATTTATCTATATTTTGCTTTATTGTTGATTGGTATCCTAGGGCTCTTTTCTCGACTGGTCGATACGACAGCTGTTCTTTTCTTTCAATCATTTTGTTTCTTTTTTCGAGTGGCTTGTACCCTATTTTTGTCTTGATTCCCCGCGGCGTCATATGTGCCGGTTTTTTTGCGATCACGGGCTCCCCATTTTGTGGACTATAGAGCTACTGTGAGAAACAACAACAACAACAATCATACCCTCAATTCCGCATGGAGACCGTTTTCACGTCTTCACGCTCTGCATTCCGCCTTTGATTTCAGCACACCCAAGCGAAACACACACGTCCGATTTCAGAAACAAATATTTCAATCCTGCGCCAACACAACGCCTCTCATCAAAATGAAGGCCGATTTCACGCCTTCGCCCTCTGCACTCTGCCTTTGATTTCAATATACACAGAACACGCACATTCCGATTTCAGGGAAACAACATAAGCACTGCCCCAACACACACCCATTCTTCCGCATGAAGACCGAATTCACGCCTTCACCCTCTCAAATCTGCGTTTTCCTTCACCAGACATGCCTCGCTTCTTATGGCCAGGTCTGACCGGAACACAAAACATACACACACACACACACACGTGAAAAGACGTCAGTCTTAGTGCGGTTGAAAACACGAAACACTTGTATCTGCCACGAACTGGGACCCCGTGAGGGGCAGCATGGGGGAGGCTAAACTATCCTTCGGATCAAAAACAGAAACAGCAGCAACAGAAGAAAACTGCACGCGTCTACCAAGGCTATTACCTTGTACTCGAGTTCGTTTAGGAGTACTTTCACCATTATCCTCCTTGTTATCGCTACCATCATTCTGAACCTCATTTTGACAAGAATCTCTGGGCAGTTCTTCCCTAGCCCTACATTGTTTGCTTTGGGGAAGGTCATCTGGCTCAAACCCTTTGCTCTCTTCCACTCCTCCATGCTTTCCTCCTCCATCGTCGTCTTCGCCCTCCTTTCTTCCCTTTCCCTTTTCTTCGTCTCCGTCACTCCCACAAGACCTACCCTCATTACTATCGTTGTCGCTAANGTGGTCAGATTGCGCAAGGCACTACTTTCGCGGCTACCGATTCTTTGCTAGGCACCACTCGCTGTCGATATCTCGACCGAGCCTACTTGTGCGCTAGCCCAATCGGTGTTGCTGCGAAGGTGGTTGCACTTAGCAGTCGCTCTATACACCTGCCGGCCGTTGTCAGCGCGGCACGCTTCAAATCGTTCCGAGGTCACCAATACCCCAACACCACCGTCACCAACACGTTGTACGGCGAACGTTCTGACTCCATCCATGTTCTGAGCAGAATGGCTTCCACACATCTCCGGATTTTCACGTCAAGTGATCGTTCTCGACTGCATTCAGAATCATGTTCTTTTGATCTTAGAACAACGCCAACCAAGGGAGAAATCAGAACAAGTATCCGGTGCAAGAGCGCAAGGTGTACTCATCTGTCCAGTCGGTCGGGTGTGTGTTGTTGTAGGTTGATCTTCACCCACAGGTTGACGTTGACTTGTTGGGCTCTCGAGTCTCGAAGTAGCTAGAGAGAGAAATGGCGACGTAGTCCTGGGGGAGACAATGGTCGCGGGGGTGCAAGAAACGTGTTATTGAAGGCAACAACAACAACAACAACAACAACAACAACAGCAGCAGCAGCAACAAAAACAACAACAACAACAGTACAATGCCACTCGTTCGCTGTACTCTACGAATTTCTGAAACGAGACCAATGTCTGCTGGCAATGCAACCACAAAAAGTAGTTTCTGGTTCCCTTCATTATCCACTTGCTTCTCCGTCTTCTTGTTTCGTGGACAGCAGGGTCGTATGCATTTGTCTACCTGCCTTTATTCTTTTGCCGACCGATTGGTTGATTTTTCCCTATCTTTGTTATATACCCGAGATATGAATAGTACAATTCCGCAAGCACTACTCGATGTGTGCCCCGATTTCATGGGAATAGTTTTTACGACCGTCCGGTCTACATAAGCACATGCAATCCAGAGCGAACTAAATAACTGTTACAGCACTCGATTTCGAATTGATTGTTTCTGTGAGTACGGTAAGGAGTGCCTTTCAAACGAATAGTGCAAGATATTGTTTACTTTCTCGCGACGTACTTGATTGAAGGAAGGTCATTTCTGCAATTTTACGTCTGGCGCCAACCTTACCCTCGGGCAGAGCTGTGCAGCGATACAATATTGATTTCGCAAGCAAATCCGATACGCGGCGGGAGGGGGGGCTTCCAAACCCCAGCACGTGTATATACAATATCTGTCCAGAACAATGGAACATTCAGATGGACATTCTACCTCCTCTATGTATGTATCAGGTAGACAATATCGCCCTTTCGTCAATGAGTACGAGTGGTAAAAAAAACACTGACATTGACGTTTCGGGCTCTACAGTAGCTGTACCCACATACTGTAAAAAATGTGTGAAAAACTTGGTAAATCTCACCGTCGGCAAGAACAAATATTTACTTTGGCAAACAGTTAAAATAAACTAAAATAAACAATCATCTGTTCAATGTTCACCCCCCTGATACACCACGCACTCTCTGGGTAGTGGAGTTGGTATTGTTGTTGATAAACGGGTATGAATGTAGTCTACACGTTTAGAAAACAATGACAACGAAGTGAGGAACGTACGTTGATCGTTGCGATGGATCCTCGCCAATCTTGTTTCTTGGGAGGCGGTAGATCTTCATGTCTTCATGTCCTCAAAATCTTGACAGCATCGTACTTACTGTAGTACATTCGACGGACAGCGACGACGTACTTGATGCTGACGACTTGGCTTGATCGGGTATCGGAGAGTGGTCGCGGAAGCGGGGGTGGTTGGTCGTGGAAGGGCAGAGTCGAAGCCCCGAAACACCTGGATGTGTTCGCGTCGCGTAGCAAATAGGACACAGACGAGGGAACATGAAAAGAATATTTATACTGTAACAGGTAGAATCTGTTCTCTCGTATCCATGGATAAAAAATGAAGAATTTGTTGTGGTGACATGAATAAATTCTGGCAGTCTTGCACCTTGTGCAGTGTGTAACGAACACCAGACATCATTCCTTCCTAGGGTAAATGTCAACCGGCTACGCCAACGCGACGAATAGCTTGCTTACGCGGTGGAAGTAACCTCGCTTTGTTTGTACACTGTAGCGGAGGAGGCAGAGAGTAGTCTACACCGCAAAACCATCAACGGCGGGTGGGTGTGATGCAAAATATTCTCGAAGAGGTGGTACGAACAATTGAACACATTCGGCTCGAAATTTGGCGCGCAAACAATCAAGGCAGAGACTCGCGGCGTGCTGTGTGTGTGCACAGCGGCAGTACGACAGCTCGCTCTGTTGATTAACACACGGTATGACCATACTAAGGCTGGCACGAGGCGGGGACAGACTGTGTGGAACGGTGACGCCGCTACTTTGCGTACGTCGTATACTACATGGTGATTGCGTTGCCGGGGTGGGTACCTTGCTTCACTGCAAAAAAGAAGCAAGTGATTATGTTGCTGCCAAACCAAATGCTGGGTACAAAAGGTTCATGCGTGTGTATGTGGGAAAAAAGTCAAGCAACACCTGACCTGTAGAGGACGAAACAGGACGAGGCGAGCGGTTAGGGGAGCATCACGACTGCGTGGCAATGATGATCGGTGAGTCAAGTTGATTGAGTGGAAGGGCACTGCCTGGTGATAGGGACAGTCTCTGAAGTAGACGTGAGCGGGTGTACGCGCGCGCGAAGAGAGAGGGCCGGTCTGCATGCAATCCTATGTTGGCCCGAGCTTCATCTTCGAGAAGTCCCGACAGCATCATATCACGCGTGAACGCTCGCGGAGCAAATGCGGGCCTCACTCAGTCCTTTAACTGTTTATCATCGGGAGCGACTCTGAGATGGTCGACCTGAGCTAGGCTAGCGTGGATATGTCTGGCCAACTTTTTGGCGCGAAACAATTTCGGCGCGAAAAGTGCCTACATCATGTCTCCATGTATCTTTGCATCGGAAATCGATGCGCCCGGTCTCTCACACATGTGTGCGTGTGCTCACCATCATCTTCTCGTACTGCGCCACGTAGTACTGCAGTTGGCCAGGGCGGTAGTACGTGCAGATGTCGTTGATGTTCTGTAAGGTTGCTGAGGTTTGGGAGGAGGCCAAAGCTGACGCGTACTTGATCCTGGATTCTGATGCCGCGAGAGAGGGAAGGAAGCAACTGCAGGCAGCGGTGTGCTGAGAGAGGAATCAGGTGGATGCCAGGCGGGGCCATAGGTGGGTGGGCTGGGTACATACAGGTTGTGCGATGAAGTGCAGGGACGATGGCAATGGTGTGTGCTGATGGAGAGGAGAAGAGAGTGAGAGTGAGAGTGAGGGGGAGGGGGAGCAGGTGTGCGCGCGGGTTGGACTGATAAGTAAAAAAAGCCGTTGGCTTTTTTTGGGCGGGAATATTGATGTGACCGCGTCCAACTTGTCAGCGGAGGGGGAATCCTTGAGACGTTCTTCGGAGATGCGGTGTGGATCCGAGTTGTCTGTGGGATGAATCTCAACCTCCATGCTGCTCTTGCCTCTACGTGTAAACATGAGCGGGGGAGAGCAAGGATGTGACTCCAAACCTTCGACTCCAAATTTTCGAGTGCTTACTATGCGCAATCATTTCACTCACCGCTCCACACCACCGTTGCGTGGGTAGGGTGTATGCATAGTGCAAGCTCGAAATCCTTTACCTATTGTCTCTCGGTCTGCACGTATGTGTTCACTAACACGTGGATAGGTAGTACACATCACTGCCGGCGAAGGACGGACCGGCCGGTAGCGTGCTCGTCAGGTGTAGCGGACTGCTGTACATATCATGATGCACGCCCAAGCAGCTTGTTTGGGTGTGAACAGCAGACCATATGGTGTCTATCTCTACAAAAAATGACCGAGAAGAGAGCGAGAGAGAGAGCGACGTAGTGTTGACCACAGCAGATTCTGAGCAGCGCCTCGCCACACGAGGCTTGGTGAGTCGGAAGTCGGGCGTCCCCATCTTTCTCCATGTTTGTTGTCTTTCTTGGGACGGACGCTGTCGTAAGATACATGCAATGTTGATAATCCTGGTTGCCGGCAAACAGAATCACCGGGCAAGCCTTCGATCACGGACAACGTTCGAAAAGCATCCGGGGTCGCTCACTTGCACATGAGCTACAGCAGTCATCCCCCATTGCTTCGATCTCGTGCTCATCTTCGAGCCACATCTCGAAGAAACAAGCACATTGACGTGACATGGGACGCATCACACTTTTCCGAGCCTCCCGATGGGGATGCACAAAAACAAAGCACACGAGAAGAACACAAGATATTGGGTAAATACAGGATCCTGCCCTGCACACGTTGTTTGCACATGATACAACTGGTCCGAGCTGCATGAAGGTAGAGTGCTACACCTAGAAACAAATGCTCACGCTGCACGGCGACGTTTCGTATAGATGAAGCATTTACCAGAAAACGACACGCCCGGTACTAAAACCAAGGGAGGTAAGCTTCAAATGAGCTAGAAAATCCTTTCCGCTGGTATTCTACCGCGGTCGTGCTACACAGTAGTCATAGCCCAAGCGGTGTACGTATCACCGCGCGCCATCAACAAAAAGTAGTTCCATCCTGCCTCCCCCCCAACCCCAGGCCTGCATTCCTCCTCCCTGCTAACGGCGCCCTCCTCATCACGCCCTCTTCTGGTGTCGTCCTTCTACAATACCACAGCAGCAGCGATCTTTCACAACGGTGGATGACGTGCGATACATCTCAACGCGGCACAGAGGGTATGGTCCAGTCTACTGTTTAGACTTGTGGTCCAATCTTCTACCCGGCTTCCTTCCTCGCCCTGCTGTGCGTCACCTACAGTACGTTCACTGCCACAAGAACGACGAGAAAGCGCCGGAGGAACCGGGGGCGGGGGGGGAGAGGACGAGGTTAAATGACACGCAACATGTTTTGCCTGTGTTTGAATGCAACTCAGTAGTCTAGTTGCGGAGGGAGGGCCTGGTGCACAGAACCAACAGATCACGAATTGAAGGCACCCGATGCTCACTTGACCGGAGGATCTATTTCCTTCGAGCATGAAACTCCTGTGCACTTCTTTCTTGTTACAGCGAGGGGGGCCGTCTTCGAGAAATAATGCCGGGATGTCTTCTGGGACCATCGCCCTGTGCCCTTCTATATGATAGGCAGGTGTGTCCTGTTGTGGTGCTTGGAGGAAACGCCCCTCCGTCCGTTTTCGAAATTGTTGCGTTGTTGCAAATGGATACTACTGCTGTAGGATTGATTGTGGAGGCTACAGCTTTTCCCCGACAGATGGCAAGCCGCAATGTTGTCATACCTACATGCCGTCAACGATTCCACTCCGACATTTCATACGCCTGCTGTAGACATATCTGCTGTTGTTAGTTTTGTGAGGGGGAACGGAATCCTGCTGTCGACGTGTTGCAAGAGCAAGAACACGGCGAAATATGAGCTCTTGCCTGTAGCCTGGCGACACCAGCGAGGGCAAGGGTGCTACAAACGCCTGCAACACTGCTGTACGGTTGTCCACATCCAGCGAGTACACCCGGAGGTAAAGATGATGTCGAGGTTCTCTTTCCCTACCCATGGCGCTCCATGCTTGAACTGACACCTCTGCAATACGCATACCCCTTTCACATGAGGTCGGCTGCCGCCCCACCGCGCGACCCGCGGAAAAGATCTTATTTCATCCTCGCAACGTCGGCTTTGCCGCAAGGTAGAGCCCGGATCAACAGCCTCCCGTGCAATCTACACTTCACCAGGTTATCTCGGCAGCTCACCATGTTCGCTGCTGAGGCACTTCTTCCTGCTGGAGCGCTCCAAGCTCCTTCTATCCGCCGTCGTGCTCGGTCATCGTGCTCGGTCTTTTTCAAAAATCTGCAAAAAATCGGTTCGGAGATCGCGTGAAAAGCACGGGCGAGCATGGAGGCGAACGGCAGGGGAACAGGGTGCGCAAGCTGGTTGTCAGCACACCTGAGCAAGGTGGTTGCGTGGATTCAATGAGACAAGCACATTACAGTCAGTCTGTGTGGACTATCTCCCTCTGCTGGACCCGTGCCTCTCTCTAGCGATCCTGCAATCCTGTGCGGTGCTCGCTGGCACTTCTCGCTGGCTTTCGTGATGGGTCGCATGTGGTCATCGATTTCAACAATCTACTCACGTTGCTGCTGCTGGCGCCTTCATCTGCAGACACCAAACCCCTTAGCCCATATCAAGAAGAACCAAATGGTGGGTGAGGGTGCCAGCATGATAGGCTGTTGTGGAGAGCAACTGGGCGTCCTCTTCGGGGTCTTGGTTTGGAGGGGTGCCGAAGGAGGCTGCTACCTTTCAAAAACGGAGATCGCGGTGGCGATCTCCGAAATTCTAACCAGGGAGTTCCATCGAAATGCACGCCAAGGCGGGGAGGCGGGGTTGAAGATCAAACTTCAACCAGAGGACGATATCACTGGGAGAAAAGACGTCGTTACTGCCGGACACCCTAAAACGCAACCACGTTGGAGATTATCAATGTGGCTATCCTCTCAAAAAGGTACGAAAAAGCTGGCCCCTAATATCACCAACTCTACAAGATTTATTTGTGTAATTGTCACAACTTTGCTCATTAGAAGCAGCGCTGGCATGTGGCGCAGAGGTAGCGTGCGAGGCTCATAACCTCGAGGACCCAGGATCGAAACCTGGCATGCCATGTTTTCCTCTTATTCTCTTGATATGTTATCATTTTTTGGTCTCAATGAAGGGGTATCAGTATGCAGGCAGCGTCACAGGTATGCACGCAAATACGTGTCCCCGGTGACATTGAAGCGACGCCCCCCCTTCCCCTTTCAGAACCCCATGTGGTATACGTCTCACACGTTTTTGTGCTGTCATTGTAAGGGGTTGTTATTGCCTACTCAAGTACGTATACATCCATTCCATCCACACACAAACAGTAAATACACACACACGCGGCGTTCTTTCGTTCATTGATCAATGGCTGTTCCGATCCCTCCCTCCCGCTGTTCATCATCGTCCATACGTGATGGATCCTGTCTGAATCAAGCGCACACGCACACGCGTCTTCCGGCGGGTCCACAGAGAACGTTCGTCCTTTTCTTGGTGCGGGCACCTCAGTAACATCTTGTTGATGAATCCAAGGAGTTCACGAGTGCACCGCAAGGAAGGGATTTGAAAGTATGTCGCGAGTATTGTTACGATTAACAGGGACGTACACGTCCATCTTAATGTTTTTCTTCGTTTGGTTGTGGTGGTTTCGAGTGGTGATGATGGTGTCAAGAGATTTGTTTTGTTCATCGATGTTGGAGTCTTCTGGAGGTTGATACGTGCGTCTTTCGGGAAAATGGTGATCAATTTCGGAGCCGCTAGCCGACATGACGCAGGAGAAAGGCCAAACAACAATTGTTTTCCTCTACGCGATACACTCCAACAAAAATTACGTGTCATCGCGCGCGGCGACGTTTTGTCCCCAGGGCAAAAAGGGTAGAGATGAGTGGGCGTCGGGAGCGCAGCGCAATAGTTTGGTGTGCGAACCTCGGAGATGGACTTCCGTCGAACGGTGGCAGCACGACGACGCGGGCGGGACACACGACAGCGAAAATCCCACGTCATGTTCATGTTTCTTTTTCCACCAAGATTTCAAACGATCTGGAACGCGTCCACACGTTTATTTGCTCACGAGGCATCGCCCTTCCGGGTAACAAGGCCTCGCTTGTTTTGCTATCCACATTCCCACATGTGACAGCAGTGTAGCAACGAACTTTCGTTCTATGAACCACCGGCTCGCTTCCTGATCGCAGCGCATGTAGCCATCTCCCGGTCTGTCGAATCGAAACACCAACAAAGAAAAAAACTACTGCGTGCATTCAACTCGATTGGAAAGTGGCCGCAACAACCTCACCTCCCCTCCAGCAAAACAACAAGAAAAAGAAATGGCGCCCAACAAGTACGGAGACAAGCACACGCAACGTAGCACAGAGCAACGTTACAGCGCTGCTGCCACCGCAGGCGCGCGAACAACGCAGCGCCAGGGGTCAACAACAGCAGATGGCCAGTCGCACATGCCGTGCTCTGGTTCGTCTTACTCTTGTCATCCTTTGTTTTGGCGATTCTTTTTTGTGCTGCTTGTTCGTCGTTCCCCCCCCCTCCCCCCCCCTCCACCGCCTGACACCCTCCCTGCAACGTCAATTGCACTGACCTCCCTGTCACCTTGCTCTACTGCAAGACACACAAACGATATGGTCATCCTGCTAGAATAACGCGTGAGCCCTAAAAGGAAAATTACTCTACTTTTAAATGTCTACGACGCCCCCGAATCTCCTGTAAAAGGTTGCAGCCCCCGTAATCCTTATCCCATTCACTATTCATCAAAATCCACGGGGCACGTGCCATCACTCACGGAGGCTGGTTGCCACTCGTCCCTTCTAGCACATCACCCACCTCAAATTTCACATCCAAAAGTGCACAAAAATTCCGCCGCCGGTCACGGTGCATAAGAACACGACAACACAAACTAACCCAAACAATCCAAAATGTGCTTCCGCCTGCTGTGTACAAAAACACAAACAGAAAATTCACACGCGAAGTCTCGACGCCGCAAACTTTGCCAAGATCCAAAGGCCGGCCGGCGCAAAGGCTCCAAAGAGGAGGAACACACCATTTATATTTTTCTCTTCTTGTCTAGTCCTTGTCTGACTGTCTAGACGCCCTCGATCTTGTCCTCGACCTCCTGGTACAAGTCCTGCAGGAGCTCAATGTTCTCCTCCGAGGTCTCCCAGTACCCTCGCCCGTTCGCCTCCAAGAACGTGGTCACCGTGTCCCTTGAAAAGCACAGGAATGGGAGNGGGGGGGGGGGGGGGGGGTGTTAAGGAGCGGACAGTTACAGCTGAGTGAGCACTGGAGCGGATAAAAATGACTCCTACTGTGCTGTTCTAAGATGCAAGCTAGCGAAAGAGAAAGACAGCAGTAACGTACGCGGGGTAAGAGGGCGGCATGCTCAACTGTCCGTCAAGGATATGTCGACACATCACGATCACCACAAGAGGACACACACACGACGAGGTGTGGGGTTCGGGTGCACAGGGCGGAACGAAAGAGAGACTAACTCACCGGAACGCGTTGGGGTTGAGGTTCATGAGGCGGTCCCTCATGTCCTCGTCCTTGATGAACACGTCGTTGGCGTCCTCGAAGATGAAGTTGTCCACCTCGCCCGCCGTCGCCGCCCAGCCCATCGTGTTCCGCAGGCGCTTGGTGATCTCCCTGGTTCCCTCGTACCCGGACGCGAGCATGCCCTCGTAGAACTTGGGGTTCAGCAGCTTGGTGCGCGCGTCGAGGCGGACCGTCTCCGACAGCGTCCGCACCTGCGCGTTGGCGGTGGTGGTGTCGGCCATGAAGGACGACGGCTTCTTCTTGTCGTCGCGGAGACTGGACACGACCTTGGTCGGGTCCGAGTCGTAATAGTGGCTCACGTCGGTGAGCGAGATCTCCGAAGAGTCCAGGTTTTGGAAGGTCACGTCCACGGTCTTAAGCGCCATTTTGAACTTGTCTGTTTGCTGCTCCATCATGCCGGGCTTGTCGGCGTTGAACGCGAAGCCCTTGCGGCCCACGAACTGCTCCTGCAGCTGCTGCTCGCCCTCCCAGCCGCCGTTCTCGATCGCCAGGCCGACGTTAGCCGAGTAGGACCCCGCGGCGTTGGAGAAGACGCGGGTGGCGGCGTCGCGGACGGAGAGACCGAACTCCTCCGCCTGCTCGAGTGCGTGCTTGCGGACGAAGTTCTTGTCTGCGGGCTCGTCGGCCTCAGCAGCCATCTTTATCTGATGTTTCGTTGCGGCGGTGGTCGTGAGGACAAAGAAAACCAAAGCGGACGTGAGACACGCGCTCCTTCCCGTGCACAACACCTGAGCGGGACAGCACCTTCCTTGCCTTTGTGTATCTGTACCCCAACTTCATCCCACTCCCCTTCTCAGCCCGCAACTGTTTCTCACGCGTCACCGGGCGAAAATGATTGAAATACAAGTGCAAAGCGAAGAACGTGAACTCTCTCAAGGCCGAGAGGAATCTGCTATGCCACTCACTCCTCGGTCGAGCAAGTTCATCTGGTTGATGAAGAGATCGCGGAACACGCCGGAGCATGACACAACCACGTCCACGCGGGGACGGCCGAGCTCCTCAAGGGGGATGAGCTCCAGCTTGTTCACGCGGCCGATGGAGTCGGCGATGGGCCTGACGCCGGCGAGGCAGAGCACCTGGGCGAGCGACTCTCCTGATGAACGTATGCAGAGACGAAGGGGGGGGGAGCAGCAAGCGAGAATAAGGGGGATGGGGGTGAGCGTTGTGGAATGGAGTTGGCTTTTCTTTGTTGTCTGACCTACAACGGCGGGACAGCTGCTGACAAACGACAAGCGACCGCTTCTCCATGAAAACACAACAACAACGCGCTTGTGGGTGTCCTGCAATACTGATTACGTGTTCATACACCTTACGCCGCGGGTCGGCACGCTGACGCACCTATCTCTCCCTTTTGCCCTGGGGACAAAACGTTGCCGCGCGCAATGACACGTAATTTTTGTTGGAGTGTATCGCGTAGAGGAAAACAACTGTTGTTTGGCCATTCTCCTGCGTCATGTCGGCTAGCGGCTCCAAAATTGATTACCATTTTCCCGAAAGACGCAAGCATCAACGTCCAGAAAAAAGACTCCAACGTCGATGGAACAAAACAAATCTCTTGACACCAACCATCATCACCACTCGAAACCACCACAACCAAACGAAGAAAAACATTAAGATGGACGTGTACGTCCCTGTTAATCCTAACAAGACTCGCGACATCCATCCTTCAAATCCCTTCCTTGCGGTGCACTCGTGAACGTCTTGGATTCATCAACAAATGTTACTGAGGTGCCCGCACCAAGAAAAGGACGAATGATCTATGTGGACCCGCCGGAAGACGCGTGTGCGTGTGCGCTTGATTTCAGACAGGATCAATCACGTATGGACGATGATGAACAGCGGGAGGGAGGGATCGGAACAGCCATTGATCAATGAACGAAAGAACGCCGCGTGTGTGTGTATTTATTGTTTGTGTGTGGATGGAATGGATGTATACGTACTTGAGTAGGCGATAACAACCCCTTACAACGACAGCACAAAAACGTGTGAGACGTATACCGCATGGGGTTCTGAAAGGGGAAGGGGGGCCATCGCTTCAATGTCACCGGGGACACGTATTTGTGTGCATGGCCGAAAAGCCCAGGACAGCCCCAAGTCTCACCGTAGGTCTTGATGTTGTCCGTGCCCCACAGGGTGAACGCCACCGTCTCCGGGTACTCGCCCTGCTCTGCCACGAGCCTCTCCAGGAGGCGGTCCACGACAACCATCGCGCAGTCCACGGCCGCCTTGGTCGGGATCGACTGGGGGTCGAGAGCGTGCATGTTCTTCCCGGTCGGGAGCACGTCGGGGTTGCGGATGGGGTCGCCGCCGGGGCCCGGGGTGATGTACTCGCCGTTCAGAGCGCCGAGGAGTCCGCCGAGTTCGTTGTCGGCGACCACCTTCAAAGCGGTGGGAAGGGGGCGGGGGGGGATTGAGTTCGTACCCTGTGCCCTGGAAAAACCACTGTTCGGCAAGGATAACATGGCAGGAGATGAAAACCTAAAAACACAGCACCCGGCGTTGCTTGGGCGTTGCTTGCGGAGTAGCAAAGTGACGTAGCAACAAAAACGAATCCAGCCTCGGTAACGCTGATGCTGGGAGCCTCAGAATGTACGCGCGACTTTCACCTGCTTGAGGCAGAACTCCAGGTACGTGAACACGGGCTCCAGGTCAGCGTCCTTGCACCCTTTGAAGCCGAACTGCTCAAGGGCGGCCTTCATCGGGCTGCTGCCACCAGCTGAAGAATTTTTTGCAGGAGTAAGCAGCCGCGCAAGGACATGCGGCGGAAAGAAAGCTTGCGTCCGGGGGAAATTCGTGACAATTCGTTCGGGCTAGTAGATCGGCTAGATACGGCGAGGAGCACGAGACTTGGCCAACATCAGGTGACGAAAACAAGACACGAAATACATTCTCAAAAGCAACCTCGGTGATTCTTTAAGAGCTCATCATAACGAAACAATTTACCAAATAATGCATGCCGATGCCGATACCATCCTACTTTCCCGGTGATCTTAACACAACCATCCGTGTGGTCGCAACAAAAATCGCCGTGCTTTTGGGTGTACTCACAGACAGCCTTGCTGAAAAAGTCGGCGAAGGGGTTGACCTCCACAATGCGTCCCTCCGAGTTCGTCGATCGCTCGACGCACGCCAGCACGGCCGCACGGCACGCCTCAGTCACCTTCCGGAAATTACGCCAGACCAGCACACCATGTCCGAAAAGGAAGGAACACGGTTGGGTCTAGGTGACCCATCCATGCGGAGGACGGGGAGGATAGTACAGCGCACTACCAACAATTCCAGGAAGAAAGACAGGCAGGGGTAGGCTCCTAAAATCGCAAAAGAAGTCGTCTTGTCCTACTCCACTCGAAGTGCTGTAAGACGAAGCCCCAACCCTCTCGTAGATTGCCAGATATTTCACGATGGCCTTTCAATTCCTTGGAGACGGTCAAGCCCGAAAAATGCACAAACGTGTTGTGAGCCCCGCGCATATATGGCCCCAGATCACGACCTTAACGAACGTCCTCTTTCCTTCGTCGCGCAGAACCTGACATGATTAGGTTGGTCGGCCGGTTCTAACAATTTTGGTCAACGCTTCATTGATAAAACGACAACACAAAAACCTTTTCATCACCTGCTGCAAGAGCTGAACGTCCTCGAGGTCTCCGTTGTCGGCGTTCGTGTAGATCTCCCCGATGTCGCGTCCCATCGACTCCGCAGCGATACGAGGCAGAGACTTGATGCCGTCCTCCGGGCGGTCGAGCGACGCGATGTTGACCAAGGTGGCCACCGCCTCCGCCGAGGTGGGGGGAACGCCGACAGTGTGGAGTCCGCAAGGGAGCAAGCGGGACTCGATCTCCATGAGGCGACGGTAGATCTTGCCGATGATGTTATCGCGCTCCTGTACGAAACGCCGCCGAAGCAGAGAGACAGAGACAGAGAGGAGGAACACACGGACGTGAATAACAGGCGTTTCGAGTCAGTTCAAGTGCTCAAGGCAATCGACGGGTCCCAACAAGAACTCATCGACGGCAAGCTTAACGTACTGGCCTTGAATCGTCAGAGGACCAGCAAACGAATCCAAGACTACCTCCCCCCGCCCTCGACCATCTGTCAACCGAAACCCTCTGACGCATGCGCGATCGCCATGGGCCTCAAGACGAAAGGCAACCCAACGTCCCGACAACAGTGGGCCAACAACGACAACGACGACGCATCGTACGCACCTCGATGGTCATTAACTTGGTGTCGGTGTCGTCCGAGGGGAGGTCCTTGATGTCCTTGTCAAGATTGCACGTTCGGGCGCACGCGATGGAAGCGCTAACGATGGAAGGGCCGCGGGCACCGTTGTCGCGGAGGCCTTGGTACGAAGATACCAGCTCGTTCAGCTCCTTGAGGCCCTGCATCAAGGAAACAGCGCGTGTGTTTCATGTCGCCGACGCGGAAGGAGGGGGGGGGGGTTGTGTTCGGTCATCAAACGCCCGGTTTCGTAAACAACATGGCGACCAAAAACATGGCATCTACATATCCAGGCATGCCCTTGGCGACTGGCGATTATTGCCTAAACCATCCCCGCTGCTGCCAGCCAGCCAATACCCCACGGAAAAGCGTGCCTCCATGTACCAAAAAGAGTTCCTTTACCTTGTAGAGACCAGCGTTCTCGGCGGGTGGGGTGAGGTACGAGATGGTCGCGGCGTACGAGCGGCGCTTGGCGATGGTGGCCTCCGAAGGGTTGTTCGCCGCGTAGTAGTAGATGTTGGGGATGGAGTTGATCAGGCGGTCCGGGTAGCACGCGCCGGACATGCCGACCTGCTTGCCGGGCATGAACTCGAGGGACCCATGGGTGCCGAAGTGGAGGACCGCGTCCGCCTTAAAGATCTTCTCGAGGTACGTGTAGTACGCCGCGAACCCGTGGTGGGGGGAGGCAGACTTGGAGAAGAGCAGACGCATCGGGTCGCCCTGGTAAAAAAAAAAAACAGCAGTGGGAACGCGAGCGAGGCCGCAAGGACGGGAGAGGTCAGTAAAAGGGGGTGCGGAAAACGATTGCAACGAGTGTGATTGCTCTGTTCGAGTGATGAGCTGCATGGAACAAGAACCGTTCACGCGTAGGGTACGCGAGCAGTCGCAGACGTGAATAATGCTCAAAGTTCCACTATTGCAGTACAAAAGCGTGGACAGGCTGAAAGGTCCGTGCATCCAGCACTCCATTCGACAGTAGAGGTTCACAATGGTAAAAACGTAAGAAAGCCTAACGCGAGCGAGGAAAGGTGTGCAAGGCTACCGGAGAAAGCTTCACAAGACAAATATACAAAAAAAAACGATAACGCCCGTATATACCTCGTATCCGAAAGTGGGCTGGACGCCGATGAATACGTTCCCGAACTTGCACCCGAACACGAGGAGGTTTTGGCCGTCCGAGTTAAGGTGGCCGGGAGCCTTGCCCCAGTTCTCGACGAGGTCCCCGGCGTACGGGGTGAGCTCCTCGTACTCCTGGACCGACATGCGGTACTCCACGTTCATCTCGGGGGAGTCGATCCTGACCAAAAGTCGGACGTGAGAGGACACAGGCAGGGGCAACCGTCGTAGACCAAGGGTGAAACAATAAGTGCCGGCAGAGGGGCACATGCAACAGCCAAATACACTCCGCTTTCGACTACTCGCCACGTTGTCCGCAGGCTGTTACTTCCGCAGGCAAATGCCCACGGGCTTCAGCAACGGGTAACCTCTTCGACGTTATGTGAAGCGATCCGCTCTGTCGACTACAAAAAACTATTTTCGGCTCGTCACAGGGAAGTGCAAAATTAAAAAAATGAAAGGACGGGGCAGAGGGCAGGGGGTTGGGTTTCTCACCTGGCCTCGGGGTCGTTGAGGATTCGCTCCATCAGAGCTCGCGAGTCGTCGGGCAGGTCTCCGACGTCGTACCCCTGTTACCGCAGCAGCAGCACCAACGATCGATAGCGACAAGGCGATGGTGACGTTTTGGACAATACACGTCAGCTCGGCAATCCTACCCTACATCAACCCAACACACCGACGAATAACTCCAACCGAGAACCCAAAACGCTGCCGCTGCCCAGCTTCCTGACGGTAATCAACATAACCTATCTACGTTGTTTGCTCCTGAGGAGAGCACTCACTTCCGTCTTGAGCTTGGAAAGCACGGTGTGGATGGAGCCGAAGACGTCAAGGTAGGCGGCGGTGCCGACGTTGCCTTTGTCCGGGGGGAAGCTGAAGATGGTCACGGCCAGCCTCTTCTCCGCGTTCTTCTTGGCCCGGAGGTTGGCCCACTGCACAACAAAAACAAAAAAAAAAAAGGATTGGTGAGCTTTCCGCAGCAAGGAGGGTGAGCAGTAGTGTGAAGTGCTGCGCCATCCGCTAATAGGTTTCGTCCTGCTCGAGACCGTTCCTGTATCGAACACTTCCGCAAGAATGAAGTATCCCAACACCGCGTCTGTCTTGGCAAGGTTTTCGCACCAACAGCATCCTCGACGGCAAGGGACACGAGACGAAGCTCACTGTACCTTGAGGGCACGGTCAGCGACGAGCTGCACGCGGTCCGAGAGGGGGACCGAACGCCCGGTGGCGCCCTCGCGCCCGGCGTAGATGATTGGCTCAATGGCTCCGTCTATCTCAGGGAGAGACACCTGCGCGTTAGCATCGGCGGCAGCAGCAGCAGCAGCAGCCAAAGACGCGAAAATGCCAGGAGGGGTTAGTGGAATGGAAATGACACACGATGTTAGCGGGATCGTCATGTCATAGCGCGGGCCAGAGATGAAATGGCGCGCACAACAACGGGGCTTAAATAAGGCATTATATTTTCAACCACTAAGGGCCGTTCGCGTTCGCCCATGAAACAAACACCATAACTTGACATGCGCACCGTCCTACCCCTTCCTCCCCGCACAAAAAAGGAAAGGAGGCACGCCGAAAAAATTATGTTTTCATGTCGGCATGCATAGAGCTTTGGTGGATACCTGCAGGGCAACTTGGATGGGGTGCAGGCCGAGCTCAGAAGCTTGCCACTCCTCGAACGACTGGAACACCAGGGGCACTGTGCACAAGTACGGCACGTTGAGCTTCTGCAGCGTGGACACTGCCTTAGCGTGGTCCTGGCTGGCGGGCCCCCCGACGAGCGCGAATCCCGTCAGGTTGATGCACGTGTCGACGACGGACTTGCCGTTGGAGATGAAGTACTCTTCCACGGGGCCGGAGAAGTCCAGCCCACCGGTGTAGAGAGTTATCACCTAGGGGAACGCAGTCGTCGTGGCCGGTGTGAGTCAAGGCAAAACACAGTATTCGACCGTGGTACGTGAGTGTAGAACACAACATCTTGCTGTTGAGAAGACAGAACAGAACGTACGCTCTTCCATCTCCTCAACTCTTGGGTTTCTGTGGTGATGAACGAAGCGAGCTACAACCATTGCCGCTTAGCAATCCGAGCAGTCATCAGGCGCGATCGTCGTGCACACAAGCACGTCAAGAAACCGGATTCACCGTCACAGCACAGTCGTTCTGGAAACCCAGTGCCGGCTGGGTCAAAAACGGCAACACTTCCTTCACCTTTGCGCCGCGAGCCTCGAGTTCGGCGATGAGAGCGACGTAGTGGCACTCGTCCTTGGTGTTGATGTGGCTCTTCTGCAGCACCAGGCCGACCACGGGGGCCTCGGGCTTGATCCCGGCCGCCGGTGCGTGTTCCTGGCAGCACAACAAAGCCAGCAAAACAAAATGTCACAGGTATTGCTCAGTACCAAAGGAAGAAGGACATGCGGACGGCGGAAAAAACTTGTGAGCCTTCGGTCATGACCGGAGAAAAATATACTACAGGCAGCCAACCCCATCGTCGTCGCTAATGGCCGCGAAAACCAACTTCCCACAGGTAGTACCGCGTCAGCGTCAGACAACAGGCCTGAAGTCTTGCGAGCAAAAACATAAGAGACGTACGAATATGCATACCTTGTTGTACCAGGAGAGGTACTCGTCGACGTTCTCGAACACCTTGTCCGCGACGGGGTGCCAGATGCCCTTGTCGGGGAGGAGCACGGGCTCGGCGATATCCTTCTCCTGGACGGAGTCCATCTCCTTCACCTCCGGCACGTAGGACTTGGCCAGGGTCAGCAGCAGGCTCTCCACGTTCTCGGGGGAGCCACCCAGCCAGTACTAAAGTAGCACCACGCACGCACAGCCAGTAGACGAAACATGCAACAGCATTCACAAGACGACAACACCGCCGTGTGCACGTGGGAAGTAGGGGCGGAATTCAACGCAGGCACGCAACGCGGGCGGACGAAGCTTATGCCTTTCAGAATCTTCGAAACCATAGCGCGCAAGCAATTCTGTCCCACCGGCGGCGCAGTCTAATAGTTTCGTGGCTCGTTTGTACCGTAACATTTGACCCGAGGGGCATCGGGGACCCAACAACAGCTACAAAACCTACCCGGCGAAACCTCCTTGCCCTCCTGTAAGGGATGGCCCCGACCAAAAATACCCGTTGCTCTTGCCACGTCTCTACACAAACAATTGTGGAGACAACAGCAACACCAGTAGATCTCGGTCGTGCGAGTGTGGACGCGCAGCGTTCTCAGGTGCGTTACCTGGAAGGACATCATGAAGTTCCTGGCATCCTTGGCCTTGTCCGAAGGCAGGTACTTGAGCACCTTGGGGAGGGTGCGGAGTAGCTTGAGCATGCCCTCCTCGAAGGAAGATCCGTCCTCCTGTCGGGTCGTCGACGAGAACAAACATCCATACGCCACGCGTCATCCCGAACGAAAAGACAGCAAAAAAAAAGAACAAGCGAGAAGAGGGAGGTAAATCAAACCACGCATGATGCAAGCAAGTTCCTACCCCTGGGTTTGAGAAATAAATCAGAACCACCAAGGACATGACAGAATCGACGACGAGACACGCACGCCATTCGGGTTGCGAGTGACGGATGTACCCATTCTCCGCGCCCATCTAGGCTCTTGCGTCCACCGTCACAACGTCCTGCGACGGCGAGCAGCGGGTGCGCAAAACGCGGCCACTTCCAATAACCACGAGCTCCTTCCTTCCTTCCTTTCTCCGCCACCTTCGCACCTTCTTCTTCTTCTTCATGAAGTCCGACACGACCGACTTGCTCTGTCCGAGGTTTTGCATGGTGAAGGACCCGACCTTGTTGAGGCGCATGACCTCGGGCATGGAAGGGAACACAACCACGGCGTCCAGCTGGTCCCGCAGGGGCTCCACCACCTTCTGCACCTCCTCCGCGAGCTCCTGGAAGGACGGAGCAGTAGCGATTGGTCGGAGTTATTGTCGTGAGAGGGGACGCGGCTCAAAAGATAAGATTGATTGTTGTGGCAACTGAGATGCTAGGAGCTTGGTTTCATGTTGAGCTTTTGCACCCGCATCATACATGATGGGCTGCTGTCGTGGGAACAACATGCCACTCGTCGGAACTGGGTGCTGAGTTTGTGCACCCTCGCCCACCAACATCCCCACTGAGCATTTATTTCCGACGCTATTTTACCTATCGCGAGACACCCCCAGGTGCAACTTGGAGAGACTTGATGGATGTTTTGTGTCGATTGCCCTCCCGTGTGTCATGACGCTTCGGCTTGTTATCAAAAAAAAACGTTACCCGACACGCCGTTGCACCGGCCTCCACTCTTGCCAAGCCGACATACCACCGCTTGCGTGCCACTACCAGAATGTCAAATTGCACGCTGAACACTTTTCCGTCGCTTGCAACAAGGCACCGATGAAGAGATCGATGCGGTTTTCCTTTTTGTGGATTCGTCACACTTGAGTGGCAGCGGCGGTAGCAGGTGTCATACACGGATGACAGTTTGCCATGGGAGAACGCCACCCTAAGGAATGCAAGTATTCTTCAAGTCTTCAGTGTGGTTGTCCGTCAGGAACTCCCCTCGACCTGAAACATGCCACACACTTCTACCATAAGTCTTTGCCCCCCGTATACCAGCTGCTACCCGCTGATGGGCCTACCCTACGCATGTCAACAGCAAACATCACAGTTAATCCAGCAACAAAAAGTATTGACGACACACAGCAACACTTGAGAATTGTCCGCAGCGCGCGTACCTGCACGAAGATGAGGGACCCGATGAAGATGTTGGAAGACTCCACGTCCTTTTTGAAGGCGGCCACGTTCTTGGGGTCACGGAGCTCCTCGAGCAGGTAGCCCACGCACTCCACGCAAACGTCGTCGCGGCTCTCGTTGATGCGCTGGCACGCCTTCGTCAGGGAGCTCTGGTACTGGGACTCCAGCACAACGTACGTCACCTACCATATTTTTTTACCGCAGGAGTGATGGCACCGTCGACGCGGGAGTGTGGTGCGAATTGGTCGTCGGATGCAACAAACGTGACTAAATACGTGAGAGACAGAGCGCGCCACCAAGTGTGGGCGGTGGTTTTGTAGCTTGAAGAGGGATGGATGGGGCATGCATGGCGGCCGGGGCCGGTAACTCGCCTACAAGTACATCGCGGGAAAGGCCGACATGCTTGCAGCACGACCGCTATTCGCTCGAGTTGTGGTTTGCATGCAATCGCGGGGGATAGTTCGGCGCGTCGCCCTAGAAAAGTCGCCAGTTCAGCCAGCAAAACACAACAACGCGCGGGAGGGAGCTGCATTGCGTGTGTACCGGCAACGGCAAGACTACTACTACTACTACTTCCAGCGAAAAGCTTGTGGCAAATTCTTTGGTGCTCTGTGCTTCCACGCAGAAGATCGTTCCTTCGGCCTTGACAAAATGCCCAAGCGTCAGAATCCCGGCCAGATTAGACCTTGACCCGTCCTTCGCCCATCACGACACACGCACCCTCGCGCCGCAAACAAGCGCGGAGTTTGCGCGGTTCCACTGCTGTCAAACAGTAAGGCAAGTGCCCGCGGCATCAATCATCTCGCGAAAGTCCGGTGACAGGAGGCGCGTGTTTTCGAGCTCGGGAGCGTTCAGTTCAACCCAGCAATGAGCCGGCAAGAATCGATGGACTGGAATCATGACATAAAACGACCGAAACTTTCTAGCGAAACAACCGCGGTTGGAGGATTTGAGCCTCTGTTGTAGGAATTCAGTATGGTGTTCTGAGGCCGGCAACATCTGTCACGCAACATCACCGACGTGCTCAGCGAAGCAGGCAAATCGGAGCGCTCCTTTGGAAGGGTGTGGCGTACCGTAGGAGAAATCACGGCCTTGAAGTCGCCGTCTGGCACGTAATTTACTTCTTACCGATGAAGAAATTGTAAGTCGGCTGGACGAGGGATCTTTGTTCGCACCCGCTGGCAAAGGACATCAATATTCGTTTGATCCAGTTTGTGAGAATACTCGAGTTGCTCTCAGTTAATAGTGCACGGCGAGGCGTGTGGGATTGGGAGTCTACTGAGTCCACATTCGCTATTCTTGCCTCTGACGCGAAAGCAGTACAGGTATAACATGAGTAGATTGGGTCCGTGAAGAAATCATAAAACGGGAGGCGCGGGAGCCCATCGGACACTGTTGCAAACTGCAAACCCGGTCATTGCGAAAAACGCGCCGCATTGGTGACGACTATTTGCGACGACACTACAATAAGGCTGGACGACGTTATAATAAGCAGATAACACGCCACCACAGCTCGGTGTGGGGAACTAACACTGGATCCGGTAGATACTACTGCGCAGATCGTCTTAGCATGACAAGATGCGAGGAAGATCTTAACCCGACACTGACAAACCTGGAAACCTTCGAGTAGGCGAACGGTTAGTGTGCGTCGGGACACGTCATGTTGTGACATACTGCCCAGCGAGCGACGTAGTGAATGAAAGCACAAGGCCGGTTTATCTGTGCGATTCATGAAACCTGGCGAGGTGAAAAACGCACACCGAGACTTCGGTTCTTGTGAAGGAGGTGAACGCTCGTCAAGAGGACGTACAAATGGTATCGCAGCACGAGTTTGCCGAGGGAGTTTTATATGGTACTTCGTACAGGAGAAAAATGGATTGACAAATCATGAAATAAGCAAATTCTTCCGTCCTTTGGGGGTCCTTTTGTGTGTCTGACTCATCCTGATGTCTGTGCCTGGAATCTGCGTCGAGACGCTGCGCAGGGCAACCTCACGGACGGTTGAAAAAAAAAACGTGTTTTCGCTCATGCTCGTGGCAGTCGAGCAGCTGGTTGAGAAAATTAGGCGCAAGGTAGCATCGCAAAAAGGATGCTCTTCAAGAACGTGCGCACATGCAACAAGATCTATTGGCACATTTTCACACTGTAGAAATATGGAGCGCTCTTTCGTGAAGCCAAAAAAAAAGCGAAAAAAAACATGACACAGCATTTGAGTGTGGAGGAGATGTGTGTGCGATCACGAGGACTCGCCACACCGCAGCGTGAGTGCCAACGGCTCTGGCCATGTGGCTCCAATCTGCAGCACTTCCAGCTCTGCGCAAGATGCTCATCGCCGCAAGCAAGACCCAACACCGAGATAGTGAGCGCGCGTGATCATGCCGCACCATTTGCAACAAGCTCTCGCTCCCTATCGCGTCTCCTGAAACCACAACTAACCTTGAAGTAGGCCTTGCCATCCCTCGTCTCGGGCAGGACGCGTCGGTCGTCCGGGTTGGACGTCGTGAACATGCCTTTCTCGATCCCCGCCGAGACCATCTGCAGGCCGTGGGCCTCCACCGCCCTCGACCTCGAGCTCCTGCGCGGGGCGGCCACCTTGGCCCAGCTGTCCATGGCTCGTACGGTGGCGGCGCCTGGTGCAACGGAGGAGGTCGCAGCAGTGGCGGACCCGAGGTTTGGTCTCACGGAAGGAACGAAAGCCGTGGTGGACCCCATGGCCGCGCCAACGAGGACGGCCTGCAGCATCTTGGCCTGCTGGCCTCTGTTGCGCTGCCGCTTGCCCTGACCCTTAGCCATTATGGAATGTTTTTCGAGCGGCGTGTGAGGCCTGAACAGCAGTACCAGCGGCATACACGTGTGAGCGGATTGTCGGCGAAAGAGAGCGCCAAGGAGGAGAGAGAGCAGCAGCGACGGTCAAGGGGAGCACAGGGGCAGCAGCGGGCAGGAGTGCGAGGTCAGCGTGCGCGAGTCGGTGCTGTCTGGGAAGACGTGAGACGAGACAGGGCTGAATAGCTGTCTGATCGATCGCACACATGCTATGGAAATCTCTCTCTCGCATTCAGATGGCGGCTCATACTGCTGACATATCGTTGGAGCTCCACCTCTACCGTTGTGTGCAGACACGAGTGGCCGCACTGCCAAACGAGAGTTCAAATCTTCCTCGTCGTCGTCTCACCTTCCGATGATGATTCGTAAGTGAGAAAGACGGCGCAAAAGGGCGAGCGCGCTATATCCCGCTCTACTGATCTCGACCTGTCTCTCTGAGCTGAGGTGGCGTCGAAATCATGGAAGTGCTAGATTTTGTTGTTTTTTACGTGGTCTACCTCCAATGATGTTGAGGATGATTTTTCGGAGATTTGCATCTGACGTCATTCATCGTAGATGACATGCATATTTGGCTTGTGTACAAACGAGGTTAGCTGGCTTTGTTCTCGGTGTCGCGCGAGGTATTTTGCGCGTGCGGCGAGCAGCTGATTGCGTCGTGTCTTGGCATCAGGACTTTCATGCGCTTGGCGCGTGGCCAATTTTGAGTTGATCCAGCCTGCTACTAGAGAGGTATACAGACGGAGGCAGAGAGACGAAAGTACGCATGGGAAAAATGCATCATCAGCTTGCAGCTTGCATGTGCATCAACGGCAGCAATACTGCTGTATGTGCAATATTTAGTCACTCGTGCCTTTTTGTGCTTCTTGTCGAGACGTTCGAGAGGAGCTTTCTCGACGAGAGAGGGCGAGCAAATATAAGGCACTTGATTTCTGCTGTAGCTCCTGTTGGTTGTCTTCCGGCACAGATATTTCCCGGCGTCCTTGTTGGTGAACAACGAAGAAGAATGCTAATGGAAGTGTAGGCGGAATATCAAGCCACTTGATGAGTGCCTGTTGCGACCTTTACTCCAAGCTTACAGCTTACAGTGATTCCTGGTTTTTATCGTCCTCCCAACGCATATCTTTGGGAGGAATTCCAGAGCCACCCGAATCAACGAGTCGAAACCTATCTAGGCAAGATTACTCACGAACAGCACCGCTGTGCAGACTGGTCGTATCCCGCCGTCCGCACTACTATGTATCCTCCAATGGAAAAAGAGCAACCACCTGGCATGAGGTTGTTGTTGTTGTTTCTGTCCCATCATTGGACTCTGCCGTCTGCCCCTCTGGCCCCTATCCTCCACTTCTACTGGCTAGACGACCCAACCGGGGTCACATAGAAAACCTGGCATGAGGTGTATACATGCGACGGTGTGTGACTCACGTGTCCCACAGTATCTTTGCGGGGCGGTAAAGCCGCCGGCGTCATGCGCGCGGGTACAGACGCACAGGAAACAAGACAGGTCAGCCGCTTAAAAAACCGCCGGTTGCATAAGATGGAAGAAGATACCACACCCGCTGGCACCGTTTGTCAAAGCTCTATCTTTGGCATCAAAACCCGTGATGAGGTCGAAAACGGCGTTAAAGCCGCCTCGTTGAAAGCCTCCCGAAAATGCATCATATAATTACGATATGTATCCTCGTCGTCGTGGAGATATCGAGCTTTGAAAATCGGTCACGGGGGTGCGGTATCTTTCGCAACTTACAGCAGCACTCGCTTGGGGCTGCATACGTAATGTTCACCAATCGATCAATCCAAGATCAATCGAATATTGACTTCGAATAGGGCGGACCGATAAAATAACACCCAACACCAAGAGAAGTGACAACCCGCCTGCGGTACGTCCCAGACTCGCATTTGTCAAGGAGAGAGGGAAAATGAGAACGAGGACCGATATGCGGGCATCCGGCTTGCAAAAGGAAGACGAAATCGAAGTCTACGCAATCTGAGGCAAGCCAGCTCCATTCTGAGGGAACCCCGGCCGTGCGGAGGAACCGCTCTCTTCTCCGAAGCTTGTTGCTGCTGCAATGTCCCACTTTGTTTTGATTGCCTGGCATAGAGCAGAGGGGCATTGGAGGGCGTGCGCGCGCGGGGGGGGGGATGAGTGCTAGCACGCTGTCGTTGCGTAGGGAAACGACATGCAAGGAAAAACGTATCACGCAGTAGTTATCACTCCGTGCTCGCACTTAGGGTGGCCACGAAAACATTGGTAAACAACTAACAAGATGGTTTTACAACGAAACCGATGATGACAGCAAATTCCACAGCAACGACAGCAGTTGGAACACCAACAACGAAAAACTCTCGCCCTGATGGCACAGGAAAAGACAGTTGCAAAACGTTCCACGGACACACATGTATAACACCTTTTGCTCGAGGAATGTGTCAGTCACAGATGCCATGAGTTCCGGCGTGAACAAGGCCGGGTCGCTGCCGTACGCAGCCGCCTGCCACGCGATCGCCAGCTTCGAGAGCTCACGCCCTGCAGGGACGAGTCGAGAAAACACGGATGAAAATAGCTAACTCCCTTCCATGGCACTCAAATCATGCAGGATGCCATGTCAGTGCTACACGTGCACGGCAGGATTTCATTTGCTATCAATTCCATGCGTTGTCCTCCAAAAACGCCCTCTCGATTGCAAATGAGGGCCTAGTTGGCGCCGCGAAAACTAGCAAGCATACTGCATGTGTCACCACCACCGTGTAGGTGGCGTTCGCTCCTTGTTGCTATCGTACACCCGCATGGCAGAAGCTCGAAGATACAAAAGGTAGATATCGACTTCAAAGAGCCACAACCAGCCGCAGCCTGAAGAAGCAATCAAACAAGAGATGCACATGCAAGGAAACAAAATTAAAAAAACGCTTGCCGGAAAACCCTTTGGTGACCTCGGCGGCCTCCATGATGTGCTCCTCTTCTACCCCCTCCACCACGATGGTGGCCGCGTTTTTTCCCCCGGCGGCATTGAGGAGGTACTTGCTCATGTAGTACGTCAGCATGCGGTAGCGCTCCTCAAACTCGGGCAGCTCAAACGCCACCTTGCGGTCGAGAAAGTTGGAGCGAGAGGGAGAAAAAGAAGGCGTCGAACAGGGATCGTAGCGAGTGGTACTATGTAATTCTTTACTTTGAGGGACGCGTACGGATCAGGAAAGGTCAAAACTGCAACAGCCAACTGAGACAAAACAAAAGGGGGGAGGGGGGTGGGTGCGTCCTCATGTTTGGCATGCCTTTGCTGTTAGACCGTCCTCGAGAGGACGGATTATTGTTTCCACAGGACCGTGGCGAGGGGGGGGGGGGTTCT